TGGTCATATGACAAGAATGTCTTAACTACATAAGAATTTTCCAAAGTGCTTATATGCCAACCATGATGTATATTGCTTTTTGAAGGACTGTTACTAGATAGTAATAATCAGTCATAGTTATGACTTTCTTCCCTTAAGAATCAATTTGTAACAGATAATCTATATAAAGAAAACAGTTTCTATAATGAGGCAGCCATCTCCAAATTCAAAACTGTTAATTTATGTATACTCCTAACTTAAAAATGCCTCAGTGGTACTTTATTCTTGTTTTCATGGAAATCTCCTTTTTTGTTCCTGATTGTGGAGGTGGGAAGGAAATTCCTGCCATCCTTGGAGAAGTAGGGAAATGAGGAGGAGGAATCCTCTGGGCTATGGGCCAAGGGACTATATAGGGAGTTTCTCTTTAAAGCAGTGCTGTCCAGTGGAAATATATCATGAGTCACATATGTTTTTTCACATATGTAATTTAATAGCCACATTAAAAAGTAAAAAGAAATAGATGAACTTAATCCTTAAATATTTTTATTTAACACAATATATCCAAGATATTATCATTTAAACATATGATCAATACAAAATTTATTAATGAAATATTTCATTCTTTTTGTATACAAAGACTTCAAAATCTGGTGTATATTTTATACTTACATTGTATTGCTATTTGGACACTAAATTTTCAACAGTTGAAGTAAAAAGTGTAGCTCTACTAAGACAAAAAAGTTGTGTTTAATGAAAAAATATTCTACACCTCTAGGCATGATGATGTGAGCCTATAGTCCCAGCTACTTGGGAGGCTGAGGCTGAGATGTGAGGATCATTTGATCCCAGGAGTTCAAGACCAGCCTGGACAATATACCAAGATTCTGATCTCAAAAAAAAAAAAAAAATTCTGCACTACCTAATTGTTAAACTTAAATTAATTAAAAAGAACCTAAAATTCAGTTTCTCAGTTGCAGTAGCCACACCTCAAGACTCAATAGCCACACATGCCTGGGGCTACCATATAGGACTGCATAGTGAGGGCTGTCTGTGGGACTAGAAGGGGAAGATGGAGGTAAGAGATATTCCCTATTGCAGTTCAAATGCCATCCCACCACTTTTTAGCTGTGTGAGCTTGAACAAGTAGCTTAACCTCTAAGCTTTCCTTTCACTATCTGTAAAACAGGGAAAATAATATAGTACCCCTTCTATTACTGTGAAGATTAAATGAGATAATATTTGCAAAGCATGTTGTAGAAATGACTGGCAGCTTTTAGAAAAGAAGTAAGTGATGGCTTTTAAAACTCTAAACCATTCTTTGGATGGGGACTGTCTGTAGTTTCTTTTTTTTTTTTT